CCCCCCCCCCCCCCCCCCCCCCGCCGCCGCCGCCCTGCGCGCGCAGCCGCCCAGCCCGACCCGGGCCAGCCGAGCGGAGGTGGCTTGGGTGGTTTTGCGCGCCGAGTTGCGCCGCCCCGGGGCCGGGAAGGGGCTGGCCGGGCTGGAGAGCGGCGACTCCCCCGGAGTCGGGGTCGCTTCTCCCAGCCGCGGGGCCGGTGGGCGCAAAGAGGGGTGGCCGGGGGGGCGCACGGTGCATGGAAGCGGCTCTTTGCAGCAGCTGGTCTTATCCTTTCCCTCCCTCCCTGGGTTTTGCACACACACACACACACACGCACACACGCACACCCCAGCTGGCATGGTGATGCCCCCCCCCTCCCCAAAAGGAAGGAGGGGTCCCCAAACAAGGCAGCCTGGGCATCGCGCTCTTTGCCAACCCAGCGGCCGGCTTACCATGACACCCCCCTGCCCCTGCCAGCTGCGTGTCCCCTGTCCCCTCCCCGCCATCCCGTCCCGTCCTCCCCCCCCCACAAGACCCACCTGGTCTCCTCTGCTGGGGTCGCGCCTCCCTCCGCCCCCCCCCTTTCCTCCCGGGCGCTTTGGTTCCGGCCGCGGAGCTTGGCACGGACTGGGGCCGAGAGTTTCCTGGAACGGGCGAGCCTATCAGCGGCCACGGGGGTGGGGAGGGGGGGGGGAAAGAGGGAGGAGAGGCTGGGCAGGCATGGCGAGGGCTGGCTAGCGGGCAGGAGCGGAGCCCAAACGCTTGGCCCGCCCCCTCTGCCGGCCGGCCTGGGCCAAACTTCGCCTCGCTGAGCTTGCAAAACACTGGAGCTGCGCTTTCCCTCACCGGGACTGGCAGAAGGAACCTCTAGATAGACTCACGGGGCCCCCAAACTTTGGCAGCTTTTAAGACTGGTGGACTTCAATTCTGGGAGTCTTAAATTCTGCTTTTGGTGGGGGAGGGTGTCCAACCTTGGCAAATTTAAGACCTGTGGGCTTCAACTCCCCAAATTCCCTAGCCATCATGGCTAGCTGGGGAATTCTGGGAGTTGAAGTCCACAAGCCTTTAAACTTGCCAATTTTAGCCACCTCTGGGTTAGGGGTTGAATCCAAACCTCCTGAAGTGATACTGCTTGGTCCTTGAGTTTCCACCACCATGGAGCAACCACATTTCCGCGGTTAAGCGAGACGGTGGTTCAATGAATTTTGCCCCCACTGTATGACCTTTCCTGCCACCGTTGTTAAGTGAATCACTGCAGCTGCTAAATTAGTAACACAGCAGTTAAGTCAATCCGGTTTTCCCATCGAGTTTACCTGTCGGAAGGTCGCCAAAGGGGATCCGGTGAAACTCTGACCCGTCATAACTATGAATCAATTGGCCAAACGTCTAAATTTTGATCACATGCCCACAAGCGAGGCTGCAACGGTCATAAATGTGAAAAAATGGTCGCAAGTCCCTTTTTTTCCAGTGCCATCCTAACTTCGAATGGCCACTAAATGAATTTCCGGACTTTCTTAAAGCATCCAGTGCCTGGCTACCTCCTCAATCGCTCCCCCCCCCCCAGCCACCCCAAGCCTTAACAACAGATGTCTCCTAAATGAGACACAGTTTTGCAGTTGCAAACAACAATTTCCTTTCCAAGGAAGTCTGTGATGACCCAAAGGGGCGTGGCACAAAGGCCACACAGTCAAATAAGCAAGAAGAGTCCCTTTATTATCTCCAACTTTGCCCCCAACGTCCAGGTTACCTTCAGCTAGAGAAAATCTCTCCCAGGAACAGTCTTTTAACTATAGAAAATTCAGTCTAAAACAAGGTACATACAAACTGTAACTTAAAATCCAAACAAACCAAACTAAAGTAATTAACTTGACAGGGCAGGAGAAGGAATTGCGGACTTGAAAGCACAGCAAAACTCACACAGTTGGGAAGATGCCAGGAACACAGATAAGCCACAACGTTACCAGATAAATTCACGATTTGCTCCCAACAACTTAACTCTGCGCAGTTTCCCTTTTTAAACACTCTGTTCCCAACTGCAGCCAATGGAGGGAATCAGGGCCCTTTCCTCCCCCGTAAGCCATGCAACCCACGTTGTTCCCTTCTCCGTTCCTCCCTGCGTGCCCTAGGATGAAGAGGGGGTGGGCCTGGGTCTTGGTGCGAATTCCCTCTCCCTTGTTCTCCCTCTTCCCTGCTCTGCCCAGCCGGCAGAGTGTACATAAAGGGAAAAAAACACACTCGTTAAGAGTCAAGAATCATCAGGTCCAACACTTAATAATAGTCATAAGCTACAAGTAAGCAATCAAATCCAAAGATGGTATTCAGCAGGTTCTGACCAGTCCTGGAGAACCGGCAGCAGAAATTTTGAGTAGTTCGTAATACCACCTGATTGGCCCTGCTCCCCATCTATTCTCTGCCTCCCATTGAGTCCCAGTTCATCGACTGGGTCGTCTTTTGTTGCCCTGTACAAGAGAAGGAGCTGGAAAGCAGGTTAGTGGGGTGGGGAGGGAATGGGATTTTGCAGTATCCTTCCCCTGCCACGCCCACCAGGCCACGCCCACAGAACTGGTAGTAAAAAAATTTGAATCCCACCACGGATCAAATCATACTGGGAAACAGTCAATATAAATCGTAAGGATACAAGCGACAAAGTTAACAGTCCTACAATCACAAGTGGGAGGGGATGGCCGATAAGGAGTGATGAAAAGATTAATAGTGATAGTAATCAGACTTTGTAAATAGTTGAACAGTGTTGAGGGAATTATTTGTTTAGCAGAGTGATGGCACTGGGGAAAAACCTCTCCTTGTGTCTAATTTTTCTGGTGTGCAGCGCTCTATAGCCTCGTTTTGAGGGAAGGAGTTGAAACAGATTTATGTCTGAGATGTGAGGGGTCTCTAGATATTTTCACAGCCCTCTTTTTGACTCGTGCAGGATACGGGTCCTCCATGGAAGGCAGGTCGGTAGCAATTGGTTTTTTCCTGCAGTCCTAATTCCTCTATGGAGTCTGTGTCTGCCTTGTTGAGTTGCAGAACCAAACCAGACCGTGATAGAGGTGCAGATGACAGAGTCAATCACTCCTCTACATAACACCAACCTCCAACTACATCAACCGACCCGACAGTCTTATGCTGCCCCCACCACCCACAAGCCAAATTAAGATACAGATTCTGCTCTTTCGCAAAACCTGGCAACCGAAAGCCAAACTACAGGAAGGAAACTCTGCCCGAGCAGCACAGATGCCCGGCCCCGCCTGGCCCAGCTCGAAAGACCGCCTGGTCGAACACGTGGTGAAGAAGGGCCCACTTGAGATTAATACATGGCTGCCAGGCTGTTCATCACGCTGAACTCAATAGGCCTAACTTTCAAATAATCCTGCGGAGATCTCGTCTTGCAGCTAAATTACCCATTCCGGGAGCAAATTTAGGTCATGCTAAATTAAAGCAGACCCAGCAGCTTTTCTTCTGTTATTACAATTGCTGGAGTTTTAGTTACATACCAGGTTTTTTTTTACCCACGTCTTGCAAGCCCTGAGCAACAACAAAGGGTTGGATAAGAAAGGAAATCCAAAGAATAATGCTTGAAAGCATGAAAAATGCAAAATGCCACCTTCTCCCCATAACGTAGAGTAACGCTGCCTCGTTATTAGATACAGTTCGTCCTTCCCTTACGACGGACGGTTCATTGGAGTTAGAATAGCATTTGAATCCTGGCATAGCTTGATATACAATCCTAGACACTATATTAATCCATAAGGCCAACAAAAGCCTTGCAAACTTTCTGCCTCTATTGTTTGCAACGGCCGGCTCTGTGTGAATTGCCAGGAAGGAAAGGGCTGGGGCCACCACAGGAAACCTGTTTCGGAGCTCGGGAAGTACAAGAGGCCTTGGGGTCCAAAACATTTCCAGGATTCACTTTATTTTCCAGGAGTGTTCCGATCCGAAAGTGAACCTTCCTGATTTAAAAACACAAAATCTGCGCAGCTGGAAGTGTATATACTTCGTCGTATCTTATGCGGGCCCGACGTGTTTACCTAATGGCCTTTATTTATTTATCCGGGGCTGTTTCTGTTTCCAAAAGGGGAAATTTTGGAGGAAACAAAATGCTTCCATTTTATTCTTTTTTTTTTTTAATCTCTGGAGGAAATAGGCTTTAAAGCAAGTTTTTTTCAACCCTGCTGGCTGGGGAATTCTGGTTCTCAAAGTCCACCCATTTTAAAGTTTGCTGACTTGAGAATTCTGGGAATTGAAGTTCATCCCTTAGAGTTTGCTGGCTGGGGAATTCTGGGAATTGAAGTCCATGCATCTTGAAGCATGCCGGCTGAGGAATTCTAGGAGCTGAAGTCCACCAACAAAGCTGAGTTTATTTTGAGTGCAAAACTGAGTTTGTTTTGCTGTGTTGCACCACACGCTCATCCATGGTGCATGTAATCATGGCTTGCTGTACTGAATCAACCTCTGCATCCAATCCTCTGAATCTGGGCTCTTTTATTTTGCACTATATCCTGAGCCAGGAATGAGTCAGCTCTGTCTATCTAAGCAGGATACTTGAACTCAGCTCATCTGCCCAGACCTGAAGACAGAAGAATGTCAGTTTAAAGGCCATTAAGATGATTCCCAAAGCTCCAATATAATGGCCCAGTATTGCATTCTCTTCCTCCGTTCTTTCTGATTGGCCTTTCCTCATCCGTGGTGACCTCAGGGACGGAGATGCTGAGCTTGCTTGCAATAAGTCCCCTCTCTTCCACCTGCTTTGCACCACATCCCTTTAGAGTTGGGTCTTAACATTTGGCTCTTCTTCTGAATAAAGGCCTCTCCTGGCTCGGAGTAACGTAACCGGATCGCCTTCCGTTCTGTGGGATCAC